TACCCTTTTCAGAATCAGATAACAACTTTTGTTTGTAAAGTGGTCAACTAAAATAATATGTAAATCATTAACAACAACTTTTTAATAAACTAAAATCACACCGTCAACATACTTAAACTACATAAAACGCTCTTGCCTCTCTTATAAAGTTTAGTTTTCCATACAAACTAAATTAAATAGAGGAACTCACATCCCGATCATATTAAATTGATAAAATAAGAAAAGAGAGTAAGGAATTAGAGGTTCATCAAGCTTTGTTGTTGTTCTTCAATGGAAGCTCTCTTCCCTTGAGCTCTCACATCCACCTCTTTGCCCTAATCAATCTTTCTTGGTATTCTTTTCCTTCGGCTGCCACAGTTGCTGGATTAGGGTTCTTCTTCTTCTCTGATTTTACAATCATTCAAAGCAACAGAGGCTTCTACTTTCTAATCCAAACTTCTACTTCCTAAAATGTGGTTCTCTCCATTTTAGGTATCTTTTTCTTTTATATTGCCTTTTCCTTCTCATTTAGGACTGAGAAAGGATAAAATCTTCCACGAAGGGTCAACAATTTTTTCCAGATTTGCCAGTAGTGTTGTTCCTAGATTTGCTACAGCACATGGTTCAACATAACTGTTCTGAAATTTGACAAAATAACTCAATTAAATATACAATTAGGCTCAATTCATACAAATTCATATTCTTTTAATGTTGAACCACAATGAACTATTTCATGCTTACTAATTAGAACAAATAGAACAAATAATGAGAAAATGGTTTGGTTTAAGTGCATGATTAACTTGATATAGTTCTAGTTTTGGAGAGTTATTAGTAGTCAGAATGAATCCACATGTTGTTTGCCCACTCATTCAATGTTATGTTCATCCTTTCTACAACACCATTTTGTCTTGCCTTACTCGGAACTATCCTCATTAATCTAATTCCCTCACCTGCACAAAATATTTTAAACTTTGATTTGTCATACTCTCCTCCATTGTCAAACCTCAAGCATTTAATCTTCAAAGTTGGTATTATTTTCAACTTTAGTTTTCCAATTGAAGGTGGTAAACACATTTGAATTGTGTTTCAGGAAATAAACTCATACATTCTTGTTGCGATCATTGATGAAGATGACGTAGAACTTTGATCCACCAAGTGATGAAATTGGAGATAGTCTCCAAATGTCTATATGGAGCATTTCCAACCGCGTTTTCTTCACTTCTCTGGCAGCTTTTATGAAGCTAACTCATTTTTGTTTACTAAGAACACAGCTCTCACAAAGACCCATATCAACGGAATGTTGGCCTTCTGAAACTTCTTTGACAATCAGTATCTTCATTCCTTTAACGCTCATATGTCTAAGTCTATTGTACCATAGACTTGAATTGGAAGCACTTTTAGCAACAACAGACATTTTATACACTCTTTAGTAGTTTATAAAGTTCCGAATTTTATGTCACCTGCAACAACCATGGCACCCTTCACAATCTTCCACAAACTCTTTCCAAACTCTACTGCATAGCCTGTGCTATTCAACTAGCCAATATAGATCAGGTTTTTCTTGAGACCAAGAATATATCTGACATCTTGTAATGTCCACTGATTTCCTACTGTAGTTTGTTGTCGGCAAGATACACCTTCTCGAAATTTTCTGATTTAAAATTTTGAAACAATTACTTACATGGAGACGAATGACACGGTGCACCTGAATCCAAAATCCAAGATTCAGCCAAGTTGTCCACACTAAGGATTAAAGCATCCTTAGTATCTACTACTAAATATATGGAAAAATCGTCATCTATAAATTTATGATTCTGCTTCTTCTTCAGTTTTGTACAATCTGTCCAAAAGTGCTCTTTTTCTCCACAGCTCCAACACGTTACGTATGGTTTGTTTGGAGATTTTCCCTGGTTGTTTGATTTTGATCGCACATGTTTGTTTGGGCTCTTTAATTTTCTTCTTCTCATTCGATCAACAGAGAGAATTGTCTAATGAATCTCCAATTTTCTGTTTGCGAATACTTTCGCTAAGAACTACATCCTGAAGTTCATAAAACTTCAATTTGTCAGATTCTCAAGAACTGCTGATTATGGCAACAATAGTATCCCATGACTAGGTTAAAGATTGAATTTCATAAAACTTCAATTTGTCAGATCCTCAAGAAGAACTGCTGATTATGGCAACAATAGTATCCCATGAAGAACAGTATTACAGAGAATGCAGAAAGTACATTTTCAAACCACTAAGGAGTATATATATGGTTCAATTTACGGTATATAGTTTTATTAGATATAATCCTCTATTATATATTACTATCTACCATATAAATATTTTTACGCGATTTACCATTATTTACTTTATATGTCATTTACCATATAGAGTTTTGCTATGTATAACCGTTGACTAAGCTATAAATAAGCAGCAAACTCCATAACCTAACAGAGTGAACCATCCTTGTATAGAAACAACGAAGCTTCTATATTTAGGTCATAATCCGTGGACAATGATCCGCTTCATTTGAGCTTCTCCAATGGCAGACTTTCGACCTAGTTCAGTAATATCTCAACAGATCGACTTGACCCTATAGAAGTATGTAGCAATTATCTTGTCACGTTGTAAAATTGACAATAGCTCGTTCGCCAGAAGGTGTAGCCTCGTATCGTTCTTCTGTACGAACTTGTCCCATACTTCTTTTGGTGTCTTGTCATCCGAAATGTGCTATAGCATCTCTTCTACGATTGTGGTCATCAAGGCAAACATTGCTTTGCCTTCTTTGATTTTCCATTTGCGCAAGGTGCCGTTAGAATCCTCCTTTGCCGGCGTAGTTTCACTCCCGCCAACGACTTCTCAAAGGACATGTCCTTGTAAATAGAATATCATGTATGTTGCCCACGTGTTGTAGTTATTATTGAGTTTCTTGATTCCTTCAAAGATTTGGAAATCACCCATCGTGTTGGCTATACCTTAGTAATTCAAAACAATCTCTTTCGACACATAACTTGCAGAGTTACAAACTACTCACGACACAAAAAAAAATCATTCACTAATAATCTCAAGAAATCGTTTCTGATGTGAAAGTTTAGATAGAGTTGCAACAACAGAGCATACCAAGAATTCAAAGAGATCATATAACCTACACTAACCTCACTTTAGTACCAGATTGTTGAACATAACTCTTTGTGGGAAACACTCACAATCTTTATTAACACCAATCGAGAACAGATTACAAGAGACTCTGTAAAAACTACTACACCACTTTGTGCTTTTTATTTTTTAGGATGAAAACTTAGGTATGGTGGACGGATATTTATAGTAGAGGCTAGACAATCTATTCCTCAAATATTTAAATCTTTCATCTATATATTTTTCCTAAAATATATAGGTATCTTCCTTTTCAATACCTAAATCATTTTTCTAAATATAAATATACAATGTGCTCGTACAATTATTAAGTTTGAGCCTATTGAGCTAGTGATGGTATTTTAATATATGTTAGTGCCCCTCGATTATAACTTTTTCCTTTCCTCATTTGAAATCGGGAAGTGAAAAATTCTATGGCAACTCTCCTATAAATATTTTCTTTTCACCGAGTAAAGTTAGGTTAAATTTCATTCTCTAAACTTTCTTTTCACCCAAAAACAACTTAACTAATTTAACCATGAATGATAGTATGATGTGTACCATTTAGATGTGTGGTTCTCTTTTTTTTTTTTTTTTTTTTTTTTC